CATGCTACGTGATGAGAAAGGAAATGACAGTTTTTATCTTTTATTCAGGTAGCCTAAATTTACATGAGACCACAAAAAGTTCCTGACAGGATGTTATTGATTGCATTTACCCAGCTGGGGCTTGAGATGGGTCTTCCTGCCACGTCACGGGGCACCCTCTTCCTCCCATTCCTGCCCATGAGTCAAGTCTGAGGTCCTCTGCGTCTCCCATGAAAGTGGATGTTTAGGATAGATATCTCAGGGCCTTGGACAGATTTCCCACCAATCATTCTCCCTTCTCATCAGCAACAATACCCTCTGTTATTGAATGCTCCGACTGACAGACAAAGGGAAGCTCAGTCATTGTAATAACTCTAGTTATTGAATACCAGTTTTCCTCATGAATGATTTGTTTATATCAACTCACATAATCTTCAAACCTCCTTTCCGAGGGAGGGGCTCCTTTTAATCCTCATTTTAAAGGTGAGGAAGTGAAGAGCCTGACTTGTGGTTTAAGGCAAAGGCAACCCATTCTCCTCTCCCACTTCCTTCCCTGCTTTCATTCAAGCCCTAAACATTAGCCCTTACCTTGTGCCTAGCGAGCTCTGTGATGGAGCCGAGCTGGCAGCCGACAAAGCCTCTGTCTTCATTTGAGATTAACCAATCGCGTTTCTTCCTCGTGGACTTTTCCCAGACACTTTGACCCGCTTTCTAGTCTTTCTAAGTGATAGTCTCAGCTGTCTTTCCAGTTGGATACACCTGAGCTGTTTCAAGATTCCAAGTTTTATATGTGACTTGATGTTCCTGTTCGAAGCCTCCCTGTCCTTATTGGACATCTCTTTCCCATGCCCCTTGGGAAAGCTGTTGCAAACTCTTGCCTCCTGAGGACAGTCGCTAAAGTCAAAGTTACTGATATTTCCTGGACTGTGCTGCACACACACAAACACACAGAGATGGGGGAGGGGGAAGGGGGAGAGAGAGAGAGACATATTCAGGAAGAGACGGAAGGACTGATGGTGATCGAGATTATTGGACTCAGTTCAAGAAGAACTTTTTCCTGATAAAATCATCATAAAAGGTGGATTTTTCAACAGAAATGATAACAAAGCCAATCCAGGATTCCCTGATGATCAGTTTGAGAGTGGGGCATCCAAACCTCTAATCCATGATCCTGTGGGCTTAAGAGGCAGTCTAGACTTAATAAAACATTGGCTCCTAAAGAAAACTTCTAGATGCTTTATTTGGGAGCAGCTAAGTTCACAACTTCTTCAGCTTCCCACTGTTACCACTCCTCATTCCGGGTGGTGTGAGAAAGCCATGGGCTGACTGGCTTTGTCTGAACCTACCACACTGGAGAGCAACTGGAAATAGATTTAGTATAGAGATGACGGGATGTAAGTTTATGTTTTTGGCCATTTCTGTGTTATCTCTAGTTATGTACTGGCATATCTTCCAGGGAAATTTCCACTGCCCAGTGTGTTGAGACCTGGAATAGTGACACAGAAATTGGGCACAGAGGGTCTGTCTTCACACTTATGTGTTTAAGGCTCTGAGCACTAGGTGGGAGCCAAGGAGAAGCAAGATTGGAGACAGAGTTGGAAGATGGTGCATGTAGAACTCTCCCAAATCCTCCAGGTCAGTGGCAGGAACTTGACTTCAATTTGCCCCCAAACTATAGACTGTATGCCATTAATAAAGACACAGGTTTCCAGCAACTGTTAGAAGGAAGACATTCTTCTTCTTCTTCCAGTTCTCTCCATTAAAATTATAAAATTATAATCATGGAAAGAGCAAAAAGTAGAATAAATATCACCTAGGTATTTCAGGTAGTTAGTAAAAATATATTGGGGCTAGAGAGATAGTTGAGTGGTTAAGAATGCTCACTGATCTTGTAGAGCAGTGGTTCTCAACCTTCCTAATGCTGTGGCTCTTTAATACAGCTCCTCATGTTGGGGTGACCCCCAACCATAAAATTATTTTCATTGCTACTGCAAACTGTAATGTTGCTACTGTTATGAATCATCATGTAAATATCTGATATGTGACCCTCAAAGGGGTTATGACCCACAGGTTTAGAATCACTGTTTTAGAGAATCAGAGTTCTATTCCTAGTGGCCACATGGTAGCTTACAACCATCTGTAACTACAGTTCCAAGGGATCCAGTGCTCTCTTCTGGTCTCTGCAAGAACCAGACACAAATATCCATGTGGTGTATTTACATACATGCAGGCAAAACATTTGTACACATAAATTAAAAGTAAATACATCTAAAAATAGGTTATTATTTTGGAATTTGTTGTATTGTAGCATTTGTCAGCTTTTACAGTTTGCAGTTTGTTGGGATTTCTTTTTGAATGCTCAATAAATATTTACTTTTGTACTTCATTTTTTTGTTCTTCAAGGAGAACTCTCAAGCACATTTCATCTTTTGGAGGTCTGACCCCTACCCTACACAGGTACCACTTAGTGTTAAATGAAGTATGTGGAGGACATGTATCCTTGACTAGCCTATGATTTTTCTTGAATCTCTAGGCCATTAAGAAAGAGTTTTCACTGTTAGATATTTATTGCAACTGTCTCCGAGGCACTGGCATGTAGTGTTTTCTTTGCCCTTTGAATAGATAGGAGAAATCCCCAGTGTGATATCAGAGTGTTCCCATGCAAAGTTCATTTTTCATTCATATCATGGGCTATTGGTTGTAGTATTAAGGCAACTCCACATAGTTAAAAGGGAGGTTTGTTTTGTGGGGTAACTTACAAGTGAAGGGAAAGGTGTAGCACAGTCTGGCGGTGTTCTCTGGAGAACTCTGCTCGATCTACCTCCAGCATCCAGGATCCAGGAACTGGCACATCTGGATCTCGGGTCTTAAGGGCTCCCATTGCAGCCCCACCTTGTAGGCATGACAGTTACCTAATGGGGGTAGTACTTCCAGGTCAAAGCTGGAGCAGCTACCCACTACAGTGGTCCCTTGAGCATGTCTACTTACTTTCTATAGTATGTTCCCCCTGGCTCCTTTGGGTTTGGGGAGTCAATGAGATGAGAGCAGCATCTTGGTAGACTATGACAATAATTCCATCCTGTAGATCCAAGTGTACCAGGCATGGATTTGTCCACAATCCCTTGTTCAGAATTAGCCATATTGTCTCACGCAAGGAGACCAAGCAGCTGCAGACACACAAGTAGAAGCACTCTTCTCTAGGCTTCACTATACGTGTAAAAAGAAAATGATAATTTTTTGGTAGGTAAGAATGGTCTTACCAGCTGACTTGAGCTCATGGACTCTGAACCAACAGCTAGGGATCCTGCATGGGACCAACCTAGGCCCTCTGCATGTGTGTGACAGTTGTGTAGCTTGGTCTGTTTGTGGGACTCCTAGCAGTGGGATCAGGACATGTCCTGGCTCTTGAACTGACTTTCGGGAACTCAATCTCTGTACTTGCTTGCTTCATCCAACCTTGATGCAGCGAGGGAGGAGCTTGTCCTGCCTCAACCCATGGGAGGCCTGCTCCTTTCTGAATAGAGATGGAGGAGGGGTGGATGGGGAGGGGGTAGATGGGAGGCTGGGAGAGGGAATGGGAGGAGAGGAAGGAGGGAAAACTATGGTCAGTGGGTAAAATAAATGAAAAAAAATTAATTAAAAAAAAAGAATGGTCTCACAAGGGGATTGCCATAGTTGCCCAATGCATTTTTTTTTTTTGTAATTGGATGTGCTACTGTGCTTTGGTGGAAAGAGAGAAGGATTTGGAATCAGAATAACTGGATTTGTGTCTGTCCCAGAATATTGCTTATTAGCTGTGTGACCTCTCTTGAGACACAATCTTTCTGAGCATCAGTTTTATTAACTATACAAGAGGGCTGATAATAACGTCTGCCTCACTTAGTGCAGGGCTTATTTTCATGGTCAAGTGAGATCAAAGACCCAGTTTATTGTACTTAGTCAGATGCTATACAAATATAAGTACCAACCATTTTTTTTTTCCCTTTGGTTCAGCCTTGTTGGATGCTCTGGCTGAAAGATTAAGTGAAGATCAGTCAAGGTGACATGCTACATTTGACCGCCTATAAAACAGATAAAGATGATGATGTCTCTGTTACTAGGAGACCAGACAACCTTTTCAGTCAGTCTTCTTCCAGAGACTATTGATTGAAGGTGGAAGGGTATACCCTGATACATGCACGGAGGTAAAAGGACAGCTTGCAGGAGCTGGTTCCTTTTCACAACGTAGGTTCTGGGGTTCAAAAACTCAGGTCGTCAGGCTTGGCCACCAGGGCACCTGCCCAATCTACCGAACCAGCCCTGGTTAAGTGGTTTTGGGGGCACACAGCTCGGTCCTGGGTTTTGGAAGAACCTCTTCCAGGATGCATGCAGTGCATAGTTTAATGTCCTTACTTATTTCAGTGGGATTCATGATTTGTGGGGAAATTAGCACCACTGATGAGAAGCCAAGTGAGTTTCTGAATTTATTTCTTAAAGTCCTTAAGGGTGACAGCACTCTCAAAAGATGAGGCTTCCTGGAAGGGCTTGGACTCTGAGAGGTAGGAGTTGGGTTGTCGGCGCAGAGAGTTCATGCTAAACCGTGGAGTGGGAGGGACTAGCTGAGAGAGGTGGGTTTGAATAGCAGGCATCCAGAAGGAGGAACTGAGGTTAGAGGCTGGTGAATACTTGGCACACCCTCCCCCCATTCCTTGTCCTTGTGGCCTCTGGGGACCAAAGCTCAGGGCGGATTTAAGGCCTTATGCAAGCCTTCCTGATATAGCCCAAGCAGTCCTTGTACATAAGTCTGTTAAAGTGAGGCCCCACTCAGCAGAAAACAAGGCAACAGAAAGGTTTGGGCTGAGAAAGTCAGAAGCAATATCCCATAGGCCTGAAGCCCCTGAGACATTCTAGAGGCCAGAGACATCTCCCTGGGATGAATGAGATGACTGTGGCCTTTGGGAGTTTCCACTTTCCAACACATGAAATTCTCAATGACTGCAAATATGAATCCTTGCCTTCTGTTTTTCCTCTCTTATCTGTAGAAGTCAAACAGTCCCAAAACCTCTGGACTCATTTGTGTGACCTTGAAACCATCTATCTGGAAAGAGAACAGGAAGTAGAGGATGCCATGGCAACAGATAACCGAAGCCAGCATGGAATGGAGCTAATGGGCAGGGCTGCTCTCTGTGAATACTTACCAGTGAGCCCACAAGTCGTCAGTCACCATCTGTTCTGATCGGCTGATGTCAATGTTCTCCTACTCATTGAACTGACAGTCTTGGTCTGATACCTGTTGCCCATTGCTCAATGCCAGAAAGTTTCATAGACTTCTTCTCCTGACTTGGCTCACCATAGAGGGGTAGGAAAAGAAGTCGAAGGGATAAGAAGAAAGGAGTGTCCTGAAGTGACAGGTGGTTCTTCCCATGGGGACTAGCATCAACCAGAAGTGACTGGGTTGATGTTGATCGTCAAACTGTAGCTTCTCACCAGCATCTTGTGAAATAATTTAAGTTCAATCTAGTGCAATGAAGAAAGCTCCGTATTTTAGCATGCAAAATCTCAAACTGCTGCATCTAAGCATCTTCTCTTGTATGTGAGTGTTAAATGGCTCTCAAAGGCTCTGCCGTCATTCCTCTGCTTAGGAGGATGAGAAGACTCGTGTTCTATGATGGTAGAGGGTGATGGTGTGATGCCCCAGTGGAGTCTGACTTACCAGCTGGCAAAGGGGACATTACCTTTGTACTTTTTAGGGATTAAGAAACGCTGATAGAGACCCCATGACAGATGAGAGACCAAACCATATGTTTCTTCCGCATGAATTAAAATCAGACCTTGATTTGGTTTCAAACAGGAGAAATATCGAATCCAAGAGTCAAATCCAAACCAAGCCAACTAAGAAAACAAGAAGAGAGGCCAAAAAGAAAAGGGAAGGAATGAAAAGAGTAAAAAGCAAAGGAAAAAGAGAAGTGCAAGATAAAATCCTGAGTGACTGTGTTATTGCCACGAGCATGGCCATGGAATGGCAAGGCTTTCTCCTGAGCCAGGCTCAGAGGAATAGTAAGACTTCTTCTGGTCAGAGGTCAGCCATTGACAGTGTGTGCACAAAGCATCCACATCAGTTTCCTTCTCCAGGGTGACTGCAACCTGTGGCTGAGTTCCTACGGAGACCTCCTACTGAAATGAGTTAACCAGCCTGGAACCGGCCTCACTCCTGCCTTATAGAATAAACACACTGAGTTTCTAGGCTGCTCTTAGTGCCTCTCCATGGAGTGCACAGGTTACCTCATCCCAGCTTTTGGTGTGCCTGTCTGTCATTTCCTCATTCCCTTTTGCCCCAGTTAGGTCAAGTACAGATCATGGCACACACCGTTGATGTCTCTGTTTTAACACAGAGTCAGTAAAAGGAGCTAAAATAGTCTTCTAGAAAAGGAATCCTTCAACATGTCCGCAGACAAAATTTCAGAAGTTTTAAAGATAAATATTTTTCATATATAAAAGCGATAGGCAGATTTAAAGGGACTTAAGGAGAAATTACATGCCCCTTAAAAAATGTTTCCTTTGCCTGGATGGGGTAGGATTAGGACACTGGAAGTCTCTGATTAGGGATCTAGAGATATGAACAATTGGTCTAGAGATGGGCATGCTGTAGTTTATACCTGGATGTCACCCAAAGACCCATGTTCGGGTCTTTTTAAAAGCTTGGCATAGCCCATAGAGCCAGTAGGTGGTGGAAACTTTAGGAGGTAAGGCCCTGGAGCAGAGAAAATAATATGTATTATTATATATAAATATGTAAATGACTGCCCTGTCTATATAGACAATTTTGTTAAAAAGATAATAACCATAGATTTGTGTGGTCCAGTCATTTGTCAGTACGATTCAGGATGACAAGAGGTGATACTTGCACATCAGCTTATTATTTAGTCAGTGCTTGAGAAAATTCTGTGTCATCTCCAGGCACCATAGCTTTCTATGCAGGCTCAAGAATGACTTCTCTTTCCATGGGGCATCTACCACACATCCCTCCTCCAAAGTCTCAGGGAACATTGCAGAAGAAGGGGTGGGAACAGTGTGAGAGCCAGAGGGAGGAGGGGTGTGGAAAGTTGACTTCCGGGCAGGGCATGACTACTGCCTTCTCTTACTCAAAGGAGTTGTGATTACCTGCGGAAGACCGGATCTGTCAACAACTCATCATGGAAGGAGGAGGGGCTCATGAGTCCCCATTCCTCTATAAGGATGTATGATGCACAGGGAAGAGACATTTTCTTTAGTGGTGGTAAGGTACACATGCTTCTGTGATCAGACTCCCACCCACAGTTCTTTAAATAACCCTAATGGAAAACACACACACACACACACACACACACACACACACACACACGGAGACATGAATGAAAGTCAGAAAGGTAGTTGGGAAGAGGAAGGGCATCACTGCAGGTAAGAGGGAAACAAGAAAGGGTGAATCTGATCAAAATCCATTCTATACACATACAAAAACGTCACAACGAAGCCCCATCATTATGTATTGTTAACACATGCTAAGGAAAATCCTTAAGAAGGATGATGTCTCTGTGTTCTTCGGTGTTGAATGTGCTGCTCCTGAGGAACATCTTCCACGAAGGAGAGGTGAAATTGCACTATCACTCACAGTGTAGCTCTCAGTGCCTGTGTGTGTTGAATCTCTCTTCAGATCCCCGACAACTACTCATTTAGTCTGGTCGTGTCATAGCTCATAGCACCCAGTCCTCTATGGTGCTGCCCTGGAACAGTGGCTTCCAAGAACTTTATTATTGATTGTCACTTGGCTGCTCTGTTGATGATCATGAATGCACCTGTGCAGAAAAATGCAAAGGCAAATTCATTTTCTGCCCATGTTGAGCTCACTATCAACATTTGAACTATGAACTACAAATGTGGAATAATGTATGTTTTCAACCACATCTTCTCTGGGATGCAGGTTATATCACTGCATTCCTAGAGATCTCTTTCAATGTTGACAGTAGGAGAGGATCCTCAGAGCCCATCAAGAAGAGTTTTCACATTGCTGTGAAAAGACCAGTCTGGGAAAATGATGAGGGGACATGCATTGTAAAGATCCATGGCCATGCGCACTGTGGAGCAAGTCTTTAAACACCTTAGAGTTGGAGGCCACTCCTGAACACCTAATGTGACAAGGAGCCTGTCATAGGTGGGGATGGGGGAAGAGTGGATCAGATTTAGAGTAGCAATGGGAGAGGGAGAGAGAGAGAAAGAGAGAGAGAGAGAGAGAACTGATTACACTCCACTAGGGGTCTATAGATGGGAGACAGTATTGTCTTGGGAACACTGAGAGACATATAATGGCAGGTCCAAGCTGAGGTAGATAATAAATTCAGAGTCCTGAAGTACCTTATGTCCAGTGTGACTGAGTCAAATCAGAATGTCAGCACCACTCTGGAAGCTAAATCTGAGTCCAGTGGACTGATCTGTTCACAGACACGTGCTTGTAACAAGGCCTGGCTACAGGCCTAGGCAATCATGGAGGTATGGAGACCAGGCTTATTTAAGGCATCTGGTCAACCTCACGATGGGATAGATAGTTGGAAAGTGCTCTGAAGAGAATCAGTGGAGGAGGGGAGGGGTGGAGCCTGTGCTATTCACAGTATAGGGTCCTAAGATCCAAATGGCATATTGGTACTAGGAGATCTCAAGCAACTGAGAAAATACACATAGGTCTGTGGGGTGCTGTTTAGAATGTGACAAATGGATTTGGAAGCATTGGAGGTGCTATGTGTGGATTACCAGACCTGGCTTGGAGTCAGCTCTTCATTAAGCAACAAGTCTGCCTGTATGAGTGGCATAAGTTTTCAAATGACACCAACTACTAGGAAGGCTATGCATGTGTTCATTCCCTTCATTCACCTGTATACACACAGACATTTATATGGAAGTGCATATAAGTATATATAGTTCATGTAAAATAAGATATAATTCATATCCCATATTTTACAAATGTACATGTCAGGATAGGTATTTATACCATTCACACCTGTGTCTCTCCCATTTTGTCGATGTATGTGGTCTTCTTCATTTGCTTACTTAATTCTTTTTCATTTATGAAACCTATTCTGTAGCAAACAAAGTTTCATGTTTCTTACCTAAATGAGCCACTTTATTTTGAGAAATGACCCTCAGATAGCACAAATGTTCGTTTCTTCACTTCCCAGGAGAACAGGACAGGTGTGATGCTGAGTACTCGGCTCTCTGTCTAGTCACAGCTTCTTTCCAGTTGATAACTTTTGTGTAATTTGGAAATGATCTTCGTTTAACCCTGTTCATCCAGCTTGAACTTTTCTTTCAGTTTACAGGGCTTCTTGCCGCGTTTTCATTAGAAAAACTTCATAAAGGAAAAACTTGAGCAAATAAAGGAAATGAAAACCCCAGTGGATGTTGTGTAAGAATAGAATCGTATCATTACTCATGAAATATTCTTTCCTATAAACAGAATGAGGAACCAGACTAAGAAGCATCGAGTACCGTTTAAATATGCTGAAGGGTTGGAAACTTCAGCTGTGAGAGCAACCCCCATCGCTGCTTATGTTTAGGAGGTATCTCTTTCTCATTCTTCACATCCACTAGAATTTTGAGAAGTGACACAAGAGTAGGCTTTGAGCTTTGTGGTTCTAAACTCAGTGTCAACAGCAAGAGGTAGCTGGAAATATCTCGTGTGAGTGGCAGTCGTATCACAGGTTGAACGAGGGAGGGTAGAGGGACGGGGCAGATCACATGGTAAGGCACCGGCAAGGGTAAGCCTTGAGTGCTGAGCCATGAGTAGTGGATCTGGTGGAATGTCTCCACTCTGGCTGACACCTCAGCAGGAGATACACATTCCTTAACCACAAGAGGGTTGGGTGGGTGGATCTCAGCCAAGTCCCTTTCTAGGTATTGTATATAGTCTCTTGGTACAATCTGCAACCACCCTGAATGGGGATGTCAGCGCCAGAACTCCACGTTGCATCAGCTGTGGGTGCATCACGGTAAAGCATCTCCTGTTGCTGCATCATACTTACCTTTCTCCCTGATAGGGAGCTCCTGAGCACACATTCCAATAAACCTCCTGCACACAGATCTCAACGCCTCTGTTTTCAGGATGCCCACCCTACTTCAGCTACCATTCAGCTATATAGACAGAGAGCAATTTTTCATAGCTGTCTAGTTAGACTGGAATATTGGATTGAATGCAGGGCAAAATGAGATGGAGGTGTAGAAAGGACTCACTGTGTTGGGTGAAAGGGCAAAGTGGGAGGATCAAAGCGGACAAGGTGAAGAGAGGAATAATAAGCACCAAGGCAGACATGGCTCGTTTGTGTCAAAGTATCACTATGTCCTTCCTGGTTTCTTGGAGCCACCATTACAAGTAGCAGAAAGAAGCATGCTTATTGTGAACTCTCTCTTCAGATGCAAACGCCATCAGTCTTTAGTTGTTTTACTCAAGAATGAGAAAGTTGAGTGGATTGTCCATCTCAGCAACCTTCACATACGTTTTCGAAAGAGCTGCTAAAGGCTGGTGCTACAGGTTCATCCTCAAGAGCACTTGCTCCCCTTAGTGGGAAATCTACTGTGCATTAAGGGTAGGTGTGCCACCTCAAACCTCACAACTCAGCCAGATGGGACCAAGAAAGCAAGGATCGAATGGGGCAAGGGATTTGCCTAGGGAGGAAAAAGAGGGTGGAGATGCTATTTAATCCCACATTTCTCTAACTTGGAAGCCCCAGCCATGCAGGTCAGATGAGCTGGTCCCACGGAGCCCATGATCTGGGCCTCGTGCTCCGGGGCTCTGACTCACAGGCCTGTGTGGTGACCAAAACACGTGCTTATTAACCCTCTTAAGTCATCTGTTCAAACCGAAGCTCAAGAGTTGACCCAGGCTATTTCCTCTTTAATGACAGTGATAATCACAAACACACTTCTATTTTTAGAGTCCATGGGTCCCTTTCATATGTCATGTGTGTGGCTCACAAGAGACCACAATGAGCAGCACAGGGCACTGTCCCCGTTCTAGAGATGCAAAATCGGAGACCCTTGTGTCCATGCCCATTCACCTCAAAGGGTGCAGGGTGCCAACACTCCCCTTTCTGTTGACATTTCTTTCTCTTAAGTCATTTGTGTAAGCAACTGAGAGAGACTGAGGATCTGTGGAGATATATAACCCCCTGCCCCATGTGTGTGTGTGTGTGTGTGTGTGTGTGTGTGTGTGTGTGTGTGTGCGCGCGCGCGTTGTGCATGCACGGGCGTGCGCAGGTATATGCCTGGTCCGTGTAGAGTCCAGACATCATTCCTCACTCTCATTCCTCAGGAGGCATTCACCTTGTTTTCTATGCATGTAAGGTATTGGTATCGTATTTATCTTCGTTTACCTGTCCCGTTCCCTTGCACTCTGGATGACCTTCTTTTTTCTTCCCGCATCCTTCTCCTCCTACCTCCCTATCTTTTTGTGTGTGCACGTCGTGTGCAGGTCAGCCCTGCTGCTTGCTGCTATAAATATAAGTGAAGATTGAGGGTTCCGCCCTCAACAGAGCATCTCTATCACCCTCTCCAGGGCCCAGAGAACATTGCAGAAAAGGCAGCAGAGATGAGGGAGCCGGAGGATGGAGAAGAGTGCTGCGACACACTGTCCGCCGGATATGACGTAGCTGTTGCAGACACGATCTTTCACATGGATCCAAGACTCACAGATTAGACTGGGATGGCTGGCCAGCAAGCTCCAGGGCTCCACCCGTCACACCGTCTCCTGCTCTGGGATTACAAAGATACCTGATTTTATATTTGGATGCTAGGGATCAAACTCACATCCTCATGCTTACTCAGCAGGCACTGTACCATCTGAGTGATGGCCCCAGCCCCTCTTTCTTTGACCTTGGTTGAACCGAAAGGCTCTGGAAATATACCCCGATTTGAAAGACTCATCAGGCGAGAAGTAAAAACGGCACACTGAAAGGAATTAAAAACAAGGTCGACCCTGTGCAACTTCCTTGGTAGACACCAGCACTTGGCAGAGTGTAACTGGCTATAATTATCTCTCATTATCATTCTGCTCTGGTATTTGCTTCTCCTTTATATCAAAGCTTGATCTTTCTCCTTCATGTCATATAGAAGGTCCTTTCTCTAAGCTCCCCTGGACTGTCGTTTCAAACTGATTATCATGTCCCATCAGCGGAAGAACCCAGGTTCCTAAAGTGAGCGCTGTCCTTCAGTGCTTGGGTTTCCCGTATCTGTGTGCTTGGGATCTTGGTGCTCTTATCAGTGTTTCTTGACATGCCTCATCTTCCTGCTGCCATTTGACACGGTCACGAATTCGTAAGCACTGTATGTTCTCACTGGTTCCTGATTTTGCAGTATACGCCATGCTTGTGAGTACAGCCATCCTGCTGATCGTGAAGATGGGGAATGCGCTGTCACTGGGACCCTGAGTAGCCAGAGATGGGATAGGGAGAGGAGGGGCCAGGCAAAGGACAGGAGTGGACCCGAGGACATGTTTCTCTTGGGTTTAGTTAGGCAGCACACTTCTCTGTTGAAACTTCCTCTTTTTTTTTTCCCTCCCTGTAAGTGAACTGTGTGAAGGAAAAATGACCTCACACGTTATTCTGCTTTCCACGAAGTAAAAGATCGTGGTGGAAAATTTACAAGGAAATCCATTCGATTTCTCTATTTCTCTCGCCGTATGATTTTCAGTATGACTCAACCCTAAGACTGTCACCGCTAAGTAGGTCCTTATTTTCCTCATTTGTTTTTCCAGACACTTTATTTAGCATCTTGCTAAATATAATGCCCCCTCACCATGTGTTTTTTTTTTTTTTTTTTAAAAAAAAAGCAGATTAAGGAAGAGACCGGAAGTAGTGATGAGATCCCTGAATCCACACAGTAAGCTATCAGCAGAAACACGGGGCAGGATATGAACAGAGAGCAGCTCCTTCATAACCCTGGTCATGGAGAGTAGATCTCACCCGCCTCCAGGGTGAGGAGTTCATCAGAACTTGGCAACCCTGGCCTTCAGATCAGTGGTCAGCAGACCATAGCCCAAACTAGTCAGATGCTTGCTATTCAATGGCCCGTGAACTGAAAATGCTTTCTGCATTTCATTCGGATTAAGAAAAAGAAAAGTCAAAAGACACGTACTATTTCCTGACAGATAGCAAATCATGTAGAAGTCCAAATGTAGTGCTCATAAATACAATGAGTTGTTCTGGAACGGAGCCACGCCCATTTGTTTCTGTATCATCATTTATGGCTGTGTTCAGAGCGCTGTTGTGGAAGAGGCAGGTGGTTGTAGCAGAAACTCACAAAGCCTAAAATAGTTTATGATATAGGAACCACATGACTCACGGAGCCTAGAATATTTGCAGTGTAGCATAAACAGGGAGTTCGCTGACCTTTGAGGCAGAAGATTCGATGGCGGGGGTGGTGGATGTGGCGGTGGTAGGGCAATAAACATCAGACGGTTTGAGTCCAGCCGAGGACCACTGTCAGTGACCTGGGGAGAAAGAGGGTTGGGCGTGGAACAGTGCTATAGGAAGGCTCTACCTCTTCCCACTGCAGGCCCTCTCCGAGCCCTTAAATACAGAGGATCCTTAAGAGACATTTCCTCAGTGGTGCAGCCGCCGCCGACCCATTACCTCTGCTTCTGTAAGCAACTGTATTTAAACCCATTGGGGCATCAAATAAATCAATACATAAAAGAGACATGGAAATAGAAGGGAAGCTGTTTGAGTAGAAAAGAGGAAAGGGATTAAGGGAGTTGCAAGGGGAGAAAAGAGGAGGTAACAGAGGATGAATGTGATTTTATATATATATATATATATATATATATATATATATACATACATACATACATACACATGCATGTGTATATATACATATATCACATATACATATACACACATATCTCTATCTATTTCTTATCTCTATCTCAATAGATATAGATATAGATATAGATATAGATATAGATATAGATATAGATATAGATATGCAAGCCCACCCAGCACCCTGTGGCCTGGGTGGGTAAGCAGATGCCACTAAGATGAGCAGGTATGTGGTGGAGAAATGGGAGAGAAGGAGAAGCAAAACGGTTTGTACACTGTGGAGGGAAAAAGAACTGAAGTCAGGACAGTAGTGAAAACAGGCTGATACTGGTGGCCTATGCTGCCGCCCAGGGCCTGTACTGCCACTGAGGTCCATGTCTAGGTCCATAGTCCCACCGCAGTTGGGGTCTGTGTTGATGTCCATGGTCCTTGTTACTACCAAAGGCCATGTGGATACCCAGGGTCTGGGCCGCCGCTTGAGGCCACATTAGTGTCTGAGGGCCATGCTGTTACCTGTCTCATACCTATCTGAGTGGCCTGTGCAGCCACTTAAGCCAATGGGGATGTCCACCTGAGCTGCGGCA